AGCCGGCTCCGTCTGTCCGTGGGTTTCGTCATCCTTTCGCCGTGTTTCGCAAGAGGGAGGCGGCAGCGCGGCCCGCCCGGGCGCCGCGCGTTGGTGGGGTAGCCATGCCACCGGCATCGGTGGAGGAGCACACGGCCTGGGCGGTTCCGAGCGCTCAGCTGGCCGGGACTGGCGCCTGCTGCAGGGTTGTGCCAGCCTAGCAGTGTCTGAGCAGAGGTGTCCTCGTACGTGCGCACACACCCTCTGGTATGGATGCAGAGTTCGGCTGTTTCTTCCTCTCTTTGAAATTCTTTGTGCACAGAGCTGCGTTTGTGCTGATCGGTGTACGTGCACATACGCTCATATTGGCAAAAATCGAAAACGTAGAGGACGCCTAAAATGTAATTATGCCACTTGCTGTACTCTCGCTTACTTCCTTTACACAAGAATTTAAAGGCTAATTAAACCTGTATATAATAAAAATACTTCTCTTGGATATATCTGTGTGAGGGTAGAATATGTGTGATTACCCAAGTCCAAGAACAGTGATTTTTATATCGCAGGCTGGTGTGTGTGTTCATGTGTTTTCTCTTGATGAGTGTCTGGCGTAACTGGCTAGTGGCTGTGCCTCGTGCTCTTTCTTTGAGGGGCGAGTGGAACCTGTTAATGAGGAGGTTTCAAAGTTACGTTGTTCATAACTTCAAGTTAAATTTCTAGCTAACTAGACTGGCAGAAGACTTCTGGCAAGAGGAAAAGACCATATGGATGGCTTCCTTTGTTTTTCTGTTTTTTTCTCTTTACAAATTTATTGATTAATTGAGGCTTAATATTAAGGGTCATAGAAGTTGACAAACATGGGATATTTGTCAGTGTAAGAACTTCAGGTTTGCTTGAAAGCTTTCAGGGAATGTGAGCAATGTGTTGTAGATATTATTGAAAGGATTGGTGAGAAGATTGTGTTCACAGAGAGCCTACCTTAATATTTCCTTAAAGTGTAAGTTTGAAATGGGTTGTAAGAGAGGATGAGGGGGGTGGTGGTGGTGGTTGTTTTTGTTTGGTTTTTCTTAACTTTGTTTTTGTTTAATTTCAGGGAAAGCTCAGGCAGAAGGTGGATCGGCTCGGACATCGCTTCTTATTTTAGTGTCCATCTTCTTATCAGCTGCTTTCCTTATGTTCCTGGTATATAAAAATTTCCCACAACTTAGTGAGTAAGTATGTTAGGAAAGATTAATTTATTTGTTTTTCTTTCAGTGTCAAATTGTAGAGGGGCCTACGTGGGGTTAAGTGATTTTTAAACTAACATGAGTTAATTACAGACACAACCTTTTTTTTTTTTAAGGAATTTGAGTTGATAACCTAGATTGTCAGTATACGAAGCTTAATATCGAAATACGTAACTGGTAGGCTCTGTGTAAAGAGAGTTGTACTTGACCTAGGGTTTCTGTTGGACAGTTGAGATACTGTGTTTTGAAAAGTGACGCCCTGTCACTTGGTAACTCAGTATGTTCTTAACCCTCTGTAGTTGAGAGCCAGAGCATGCTTTGTTAGGGCCAGGTTTATTTTAAAATTCCTCATGCACTGGTGTACCTGCAGGCTGTCATCAGAAGGGGCCATCCTACTTCCTTCATGGCTAAGCTTCACTTTCTCTCTTAAATTGCACCTAGTACCCCTGCTGGGAAGGTGGGTGGTTTGACAAGGTAGAAGCCTGCTTGTCTGACAACTTTCTTTTTTTCTTTTAGTAGTTAATTTTTTGTCTGATTAACTTGCTCAACAAGTTCAGTTTGCAACAGGCCAGTCACTAAGTCTGATAGAGATGAAGAGAGGACACTCAACTGTGCTGCCCAGGGTTGCACCAGAGTAAGGTGTGACATGAGATATTGCTCTTAAAGCTCTGTTTGTTTGCGAGGTAAAGCTCTGCCGCTTCTGCTGCACTTCAAAGGTTATGACCCTAGCGTTGAGGTAGTCACGGTTGTTTTTGGCTGAAATGTTGACCGCTGTTCCACTGCGAAGGTTTGGCTTGAGTAATGATTTCTTCGCGAGCCGTAAGTGGCAAGAAGAAAAAAAAACAAATCCCAGAAGTGAAATAGGTTATTGTAATGAATAAGAACCCCATGGCTTTCAAATACCTAAAATTGAGGGTTTGCTAATACAAAACACACTGTAAATATGAAGTGTTCATCTGAGAACTTTGTCACAGCAATAATCATGTGGCTTGTTTGCTGAGATTGTAGCTTAGTGATGTAGTGTATCTAATTGTGTATATGTTATGTATGTAATTTTACTGTACTGTTTGATTATATTTACTACCATTCCTGATTTTTTTTTTTTTTTCCTCCCCCCAGAGAAGAAAGAGAATGTATAAAGGTTCCTAGGGATATGGATGATGCAAAAGCCTTGGGAAAAGTCCTGTCCAAATATAAGGACACATTTTATGTTCAAGTATTAGTGGCTTATTTTGCCACATATGTTTTGTATCCTTTTTCTGATATAAAAGGAAGTTTTGATGTAGTCATGTTTCTCTGAAAAAGAAATGAAAACCAGGAACTTCAAAGTTCTTGATCATGGGTGATGGGCTAACACACCGAGGTGTGTTTATAAATAGGTACGAATATTCCAAAACCTTGAACTTCAGGACATTTCTTGGGTGTTTCAGTATGGTTTTGAACAGTAAGAAGGGATTGGGTAGAGGGTGGTTGATGCATGCGTGTATAGTAGTAAATGCTGTTGGGGATTGGCATGCAGCTTGGCTCTGGCAGTTATGGACAAGTTTTTTAGCTCTGATATTAGTATGACACTAGAACGAGACCAAGTCAAACTTTTTTAATTGCAGATTGAATTGCTAGTTAGAAATTACTGTTGATTCTAAAGGAAAACAGACTATTGCACTGCTCTTCCTTGAGGCATTCGTAAGTGCCACATAAGAGTAATGTACAGAATATTTGACAGCATTTCTCAAGGAAAGCATTTTGAGCCTTCCTCTTCAACTCTGCAGTGCCTTTGTTCAAAAAAACAAATCTCTATTTCTTTTGAGAGCGCTAAATTTCTGAAGTACTTTCTGAAGTACTTTCTGCCTAGGGAGACACAAAGGCTACCTGTGTTCTATGTTAACTGTTTTCCTGGGTGCTGAATATATTAATTAATCATTAAACACACTCCTAACTGGGACACTTGACTGAAGGTTAATAACTTTTAAAAGCTGCGTAAGAGGTCTATTTTGTAGTTTAATGCAGGAGACTTTCGTAACTTGGAGTACAATCAGCGCTGAATATGCCATTAGTAATTAGCTTCTAGCTTGTTCTTTAAGTGTAGTTCACAAATAATGGGTTTATGAAGAAAATAACAATGTTAGAGTTTATATATTAACAAGAAGTAGAACAGGATTGGCTGTTTCTTTAAGTACTAGAGCAGCTGATGGTGACGACATGTACTGTCTCAGCAGTAGATTGTGATCAGTTGACAAGCACGTTACTGTTATTACCTTGACACTTCCGTAGAAAAAGCTGTACTGGTTGTAATGGTCTTAATATAAAGGCAGGTTATTTGGCTTTTTGATACTTTAGTCAATTCAACTGAAATAGAAGTGTGCAAGTTTTGTTTGCTTTGTAAGATTTCTATCCAGCACGGGCAGTACATGATAGTCTCAGGTATGCCTAGTGAGGCTGAAGCTCAACGGCCCGTCTGCTTATGCTGCAGAAACTTAACGGTAGCCTTTTTGAAAAACTCTGACTGAAGTTAATCCTAGTCACCTAGTGGTTGCAGCATGCCTATTGGTAAGGAGGTGGTAGTTGCCTTTATACCTGTCAGTCTCCCATGAAACTCAGACTAGTTACGGGCTTGGACAGCTCTGTGATCTTCTCGGGGGAGAATATCTGAAACCTGCCTCCCTCTAGGCAGGAATGTGGTGTCAGAGATACGTGGTTCCTGTATTGTCACAACAAATCCCCACTGTCCACTGTCACACAGATAAAGAGAAAAATGTCCTACAGCTTCTATTTAGTGACTAACTTTTGTGTGTGTAATGATGAATCTGTTGTTTCTCTGTGCTTGGGCTTCTTGTACTACTCTGCAAATGTATTTTGAAGTAAAGATCTTTACAGGCTATGCCTATTTATATTTATGCTTTTTCAAATTGCAGTATGTATCGTGACTGCCTATAAAACCAAGAATTGGGTAGCTTTTTAAATATGGGTTTTTTACTTAACATAGATGGATCCAGCTTGCAAACATTTGCTATTCCTGGGTCTATATTTCTCAGTATCCTGTCAGGGTTTCTTTATCCCTTTCCACTGGCCTTATTTCTTGTTTGTCTGGTAAGTATGCCTCGTACTGAAACATCGGTGCGTTACCAACATTCTTGTCAACACAAATTCAAAATACAGCCTGGTACTAGCTACGGTGAAAAAAAAAAACCTCCCAGCCAAAATCAGCACAGTATGGAGACATATATTTCTCTTCACTTGGAATACAATCAAGCATCTGAACAGCTGCTTCTTTGAAATGATCAGTCTGAGTGAAATAGAGGTATACTTCAGTTTCTGAGGAATTAATGAGTTCTCATTCAGCTCTTGTGAGAATGGCATTGCCCACAAAATTCATTGTAGCATTGGGTTATGATACAAATGATTAAACTGATTCTCTGAGTCTTCTTAATGGGATATCTGAGTGTGAATCAGCCAGAGTTTCCTTTACTTTAAATTTGTGTAGAGTCCACTAGAACCCGATGGTAATTTCAGAACATGATTACTACGTTTTTATTATCGCGCTGCAAAACACGTCTGTTTTTAAATGGCTTAAATAACGAAGCTTAAAGATATGAAATGTGTGTTATTGACAAGCTTCAGAAAATGTCATGTACAAAAGATGCAGTCATAGTGAGCCTTGGTATGTAAGAATGAGTCGTATGTACAGAAGACCAAGTTGATGAGTTTTCAAGCTTGAATTTCTTCAGTGCCATTGTGCCCCTTATTTGCAAAGCTTTCACTGTTCAAAGATGCAGAAGCACTGAATAGTAACTGATAAGTAATCAATATGGTCTACTTTGAATGTTGAGATTGATCTAAATGCCTTGGAAATAAAGGAACAGTCTTGGATCAGCATTCTCAGTGTGTATATACTGCTGAAGGAGAGTCCTTCAGCCTCTGTCTAGCCAGTGCAGTTAATAGGGATATAAGGCTAAGATTAGTATTTCTGCTCATTTGTTTTTTGTGTTTCTTTTCCTAGTGCTCAGGACTTGGAGCGTCATTCTGCTACATGCTTTCATACCTGGTGGGACGTCCTGTTGTATACAGATACTTAACAGAAAAAGCAGTAAAATGGTCGGAACAGGTAAAGTTTCTAGAGATGCTGAAATTTATGATAGAAAATGTATAGTGGAATAGAATGGACAGCTGTGGAGTCTCATGATCATGTATCTAGTTTCAAAGAAAGGGTTATCACTCCTTACTGACACTGTGTAGTTACTTTCTCTGAGTATTTGTAAACAGTGGGGAGTATTCCTGGTTTTATGGTATTTCCTGAGAGGAAGCTGTTTTCATTTAGGAAGCTTGCAACTGGTAACCCCCCTGGTTTAGCTAATGTTAGTAGGAAACCTCTCTAGTTTCAATTTAAGTAATAGTTCTCTAAGCATCAGAACTAATGAAAGCTGGGTTTGTGTTGTTTATAGGGGAAGAAAACCTATAGCTGTATGTCTGATTGCAAAACCTTAATTTGAGGATGTTGTGGTTGGTGCATTCAGAAACTCTTACAGTGTCTGGTAACAGTAGTTTCAGCAAGTGTTAATTGTCAAATGAAGTTAAGATTTTTGTATTGCACAGGGTGATTAGTATTTGACCTCAGGTCTCTTGCTTTGAGAGTCTCTCACTGCTTCCAGATTAATTGTTAAAAATACAAGCGTGATACAATCCAATTTATATACAGGGTTAGTCAGTGTTTAAATATTTGTACTTCACTAAGATTAAAAAAAACCCCACAATGGTATTAGTGAACAATAGCAGGGCTACTGACTTCGGTGTTGCAGTTCGAGCTAAAGTTGGGGTAAAAAAATGGGATTGTGACTGGGGCAAGTTGCTACATGAGTTTTCAGATGGAATTGCAGTCAGGTTGGGTTTGGTTTCACCTGGGCCACGATGGGCCAGATGACAATGTTTAGCCTTAGTGAAGATCTGCCAGGATAGGCCAGAATTGGTGGGTGTTTTGCTATCCGTGTAACTTGGTTTGAAGTTACAGTTCTTGTTTGGAAGGACTGATGTGCTGAAGCCAGGCTGGAGGGAGAAGAGGCTTTGATGTAGCACTGGTGTAAGGAGCTGGGCTAGCCTTGAGATGAAGACTGTAAAGAAAGTTGGGGCTACTGTGGTTGCTCCTGGGTGAATAATAATGCTAGGCATTCTAACCTATGGGTAGGTAGGCATTGCAGCTGTGCTGGCAGCAGCCACCTGATGGACTTCAGAGCCATGATCCAGGTGAGTTTCCAAGTGAGGAATACCACTGTGTTTAAAGTCTGATCATGAGTTAGGACAGAATGGGTTGAGGAATAAAACTTCATTGCTAGCTCCTTCAAAAGCTTTAGGAAAAGGACAAGCTAGCTGCGTTCATTGGACTACAGTTAGACAGGCAGAGGCTACTGCGCTGAAGTTAGGTTTAGGCCTGCTGCTGCGCAGAGTTACCTGCTTGCTGATTAAGTTGGCTGATTCAGACACATCATCACCTTGCTCTACCACAGACTGGTATTTCCAGACCACCTTCAGCACTGTCTAACATGTGATTCACTGATGACTCTTCCTTGAGTCACTCACTTTTTAACTGGTTTTTATGTTTGGAACTTGTAAGTGTCTACAAAAGATAGACAAAAAAACCACTAACAGACCTCTATTAGTAAAGTCATTATGCCTTTTCAAGGCAGGCTTTCCTACTGATCTTTTTTGTTGTTTTTTTTGCTTTGGTAGGTTGAACGACACCGAGAACACCTCATTAACTACATCATATTTTTGAGAATAACACCTTTTCTTCCCAACTGGTTCATCAATATAACGTCTCCTGTAATAAATGTGCCATTGAAAGTATTTTTCATTGGCACTTTTCTTGGTAAGTGTTCTGGCTAGTGAACTGAGGTTTGGGGGTAGCCAGAAGAAAGGATATGACTTGCTTCTCTCTGTATGTATTGTTCAGGAGAGATCACCACCTCCTGGACAGCTGAAAGATTGCACAAGAATATTGGTTTTGTACATTTGTGTGTGTGGCGTTTATAGCATCGAAAGGCTTTAGTAGTCAGGGCTATTCTGATGAGAGATAATGAGCCCAGGTTAAGTTTTTGCTTAAGGAAATATATATTATATGAACACTTCATTAGTAACTCTTCGTTCCACTCCATGACTGTAATATTTGTGTGAACTTCTATAAGCTCCTATTTTGAAGGACGACCGGTCAGCCTTGCCTCCATCCCTGGA